GAGAGGAGGAGGGGGAGGAGGAGGAGGAGGAGGGGGAGGACGAGGAGGAGGCAGAGCAGGGGGAAGAAGAGGAGGAGGACGAGGACGAGGAGGAGGATGAGGAGGAGGAGGAGGAGGAGGAGGAGGAAGAGTAATTAAGAGAAGGAGGAGGATGAGGAGGAGGAGGTGGAGGAGGAGAAGGAAGAGGAGCAGGAGGAGAAGGAGGAGGCGGAGGACGAGGAGGTGGATGATGATCATGATGCTGATGATGAGAATGATGATGCTGATGATGATGATGGTGGTTGTGGTGGTGGTGGTCATGATGATGCTGATGATGATGATGTTGATGTTGTTGTTGATGATGATGATGATGATGATGATGATGATGATGATGATGATGATGATGATGACGGCGATGCTGATGATTACGGTGATGATGGTGATGATCAAGAGGATGAGGAGGAGTACGACGACGACGAGGCCGATGATGAGGAGGGGAAGGACGATAAGGAGGCGGCTGAGGATGAGGATGAGGACGAGGATAAGGATGATGCTGATGCTGATGCTGCTGCTGCTGATGAGGATGAGGATGAGGATGAGGATGAGGATGATGATAGTGATGATGATGATGATGATGATGATGATGATGATGATGATGATGATGATGATGATGATGATGATCATGATGATGATGGTGATGCTGATGATTAGGAGGATGATGAGGAGCAGGTGGAGGAGGAGGAGGAGGAGCAGGAAGAGGAGGAGGAGGATGATGAGGAGGAGGAGGAAGAGGAGGACGACGAGGAGGCGGATGATGATGCTGATGATGATGGTGATGCTGATGCCGATGTTGATAAGAATGATGATGATGCTGATGATGATGCTGTTGATGATGATGCTGATGATGGTAATGATTCTGATGATGCGAGTAGGATGACGAGGAGGCGGATGATGATGATGATGATGATGATGATGATGATGATGATGATGCTGATGCTGATGCTGATGCTGTTGCTGAGGATGATGATGCTGGTGATGATGCTGCTGATGATGATGATGATACTGAGGATGATGGTGCTGATGATGATGTTGATGATGATGCTGATGATGATGAGGATGATGTTAATGATGCTGCTGCTGATGATGATGATGATGATGAGGATGATGGTGATGCTGATGATGATGTTGATGATGCTGATGATGATGCTGCTGCTGATGATGATGCTGATGCTGATGATGCTGATTATGATGATGATGATGATGATGATGAGGATTATGATGATGATGATGATGATGATGGTGGTGGTGGTGATGGTGATGATGATGATGATGATGATGATGATGATGATGATGATGATGATGATGATGATGATGATGATGATGATGATGATGATGATGATGATGATGATGATGATGATGATGATGATGATGATGATGATGATGATGATGATGATGATGATGATGATGATGATGATGATGATGATGATGATGATGATGATGATGATGATGATGATGATGATGATGATGATGATGATGATGATGATGATGGTGATGGATGATGATGATGATGATGATGATGATGATGATGATGATGATGATGATGATGATGATGATGATGATGATGATGATGATGATGATGATGATGATGATGATGATGATGATGATGATGATGAGGAGGAGGAGGAGGAGGAGGAGGAGGAGGAGGAGGAGGAGGAGGAGGAGGAGGAGGAGGAGGAGGAGGAGTAGGAGGAGGAGGATTTGCTCATGCCGCCCCTGTCCCTCCAGCACCCGCCAGGCGCGAGAGGCCGACGGGGAGGCGTTCCGGGTGCAGCTGGTTGCGCTGGAGGCGGAGAGGGAGCAGCTGCAGCAGAAGGCTGGCGGCCCTCTTCGGCCCCGGCCTCCCGCGGCTCGGCCTGTCGCCCGCAGGATGGGGGTTGGGTTGGGGAAGGGCCTAAAGGGCCTAAAGCCTGGCACCACCAGGAAGCAGGAGGGAGAGAGGGAGGGGAGGAAGGAGGGAGGGAAGGGGAGGAGACAGGAGGAGGGGGGATCTGTCTCTGCCGCTGGTCTCGCACCGTCGGATCTGTTGGCGTAGTCCCGAACATCTGAAAGAGGAGGCAGGAGGTGGAGGGAGGAGGGAGTCAGGGAGGGTTTGGGTGTAGGCAACTGGGAGACAAACTTCAAGAGAGACTGGCGCAGAGCAGGGGGAATAATAGCAACGCTGGCCAGGACGCGAAGGCAGGCAGTCCATGGGAAACGCCGGGTGAGAGCCAGACGTCACGTCTGCTTCGCTGCCAGGTCCCGCCTAATCGGCAGGAGCTCGACATCCAGATTCGCACCCGCTGCCAGCAGCCAAGCGGCAACCAGCAATGCTGGTACCCTGGTGGACGAGGAGGATACGTAAGGAGGAGAACTCTTCTCCCCTCCTGGCTGCACCCCCTGCTGCTAGGCGATGGAAACGAACGACGTGCTCAGGGCACAGTTCGATCACTGGGAGGCGCAGTGCGACCAGATCCAACAGCAG